TTGCAATTTCCCGTCGGCGGTTCAAATTTTCAATACTAACAGTCTTGCATGTAAACTTTTGACAATTTATTCCTGCTCATATTTGTTTTTTCTCCAAATCTTTTTAAGCAACTTGTATTTCTTCAATAAATTTCCCGCTTACTAAATTTTGTAATATCCTTTTAGCTTTCACAGGTGCTTTATGTGCTGCAACTTTGATCTCATCGCAAACAGCATTTGCAAAAACTAACTCTTTATGCACACGTTTTCTTTGTTCTTGTGTAAGGTTAACATCTTTAGTAACTTTGCAGCCTTTGATCATGGTGTATTACAATGTTCATTTTCTTTCTTGTTCATTCTTTGAATTGAATAGTAGTCTTTGATTTTAACCTTTTTTAAGGGTTTTAAAAGTTTTTTCCCTTTAAAAATTTTAAATCTTTTTTAGTTTTTTCCAGTTTTTTAGTGACTTCATTTTTTGGACCTTTTTTTGAAAAATTTATTCTTATTTTTAAACCCATTTCGCCTTTAGCTGTGCCCTTTTTGTAACCCCTTTGAAACTTGGTTTTTAGTAATTTTCATTTTCTTATTATTCTAACTTGAGGTGTTTTTTTTCTTTTTTTTGTATAAACTTAAAAATTCTTTTTTTTTTTCTTGTTGTTCCTTTCCTTCTTTCTGACAAATATTTACTTTCTCCCTACGAAATTTTTGTCTTCTTTCCCTTTCTTTTGATTGTATTTTCATTTTCTCTTTTTTTAGTCTTTGGGCTGGAAGCCCTTTGGGTTTTTGGCTTTTTTAATTTTGCCATATTTTTAAATTTTCAAAATTTGTTTTAAATACTAAAAAGTTCGTTATGATTTCTGACCTGTTCGTTACCAAAATTAAAAATTTATGAAAAATATGTTCTTGAAAGTTTTTAAAAATACAAATTTTTAAAATTTTTGAAAATTTAAAAAATTGTTTTCATTTTCTAAAACAATTCTTAAAATAAAGTAAATCACACATTTTTAAGGGCAAAAAATTTAAAAAGTGGCGGGGTTTTAAAACCAAATTAAAATTTGTTTGTAAATATTTTGGGAAATTTAAAAATTCTTTTTTTAGATTTTTATAAAAATGGAAAAATTTTTTAAGTAGCCAAAGGACAAGAAAAATCCTTTAAAATTTAGACAAAAAATTCTGTCAATTTAATTTAAAAAGTTCGTTATAAAGTAAGAAATGTCACAACTTTATTGGTGGCTGTTATAAAGTTCAGACCCGCCCCTAAAAGAAAAAAAAAATTCCTAGAATTTTTCTTTTTAAAAAAAATCGGAAAACTTTTTGTTGAAATAAAAGGGAAATTTAAAAGCTTTCTTTGAAAAATAAATAAATTACACGGGTTTAAAATACCAAAATGTTTAAAACGCGCGTCGAAAACCTTTAAATTTCGGTATTATGTTGTGATTTTCATTCGCAAAGTGGGGCGTTTATAGCCCTGGAGGAAAAAAATACTTTCGCAACCTTTTCCCCTTTGTTTGTTTTTTTAATTGCTGTATCGAAAATTTTTATAAAGAAAAATTTTTAATTCCCTTTTTCAAAGGGCCGTTTTTGCCTAAAAATCCTTGTTTTTTTATTGTTTTAAAAATAATGTTTTTGGGGATGAAAATTTTCCAGGGGTTAATTTTTTTATAGTTTTTGGGCCCCTTTTTTGAATTTTAAAGAACCTTTTCAGGTAAAATCGTTTTTCAACGTTTTTAGCGATTTTTGGGGTTAAATTTTGTCTATTTTTAAAAAGACCTGCTTATTTAATTTGGGATTTTCCCCAAATAAAAAATAAAAAGTGCGTTTCTACCGCAAAAAAAATTTTAATTTTTTTAATTTTTCCCCTATGTTTGTCTCCCTGAAAAACCCGGGAAAAACCTTTTTTTCAGAAGGCCCAAAAATAAAAAATTTTACCGGAAAAAATTCCAAACAAAAGATTTTGGTTTTTAATGGCACTATGCTTTTGTAGTTTAAAAATTTAAAAGTTGTTAACTATAAATTAAAATTTTTAGGGGTTTTTTTTAAACATTCTTCCTTTCTGTTTGAAAAAGAAATGAAAATTTCCGTCTATCCCGACTGGCGCGTAAAGAAATGGGCAAATTTTAAAAATGTTTTTAAAAAAAACTGATTGTTTAAAAAGGCTTTTTTTTACTATTTTTATAGACGGAATTTTTTGGTTTTTAAGGACAATTTTTGTCTGTCTTTAAGTACTTCATTAAAAAAATAATTCTGTGCGACAACCGTGCACTCGTTTATTGAAAATGAGTGTTAAGTTCGGAAAAGAGTCAACTCGGCCCTATACCAACTCGGCACGGGTCAACTCGGCACGGGTCAACTCGGCCCACTTTACAAAAATATATATAACGTATTAAATTTGCTTTGCATGTTGTTAAGGTAAATGAATAATAAGAAATATGTTATTATTATATAATAATACATTGTATACTTCTTCTGAAATAAAGTATATTTAGAAAAAAAAGTTATTTAATCTGTCTTGCAGATTCAATGAAAATTAATATGATCTAGATTCTAATAAAATGTGTTTCCTTTGATGCATTTTGTTTGTAAAGTAATATTAAAAAATAAATGAAACAAAAACGTGTTTTACTTAATATCATAAGCTTGTAATTAAATCTTCCGTATTTATAAGCGCATTTGATTGCTGCCGAAATTCATTTGCACGTGGGCATACGTTTTTTTTTCTTTTTACCAAATAGAAAGACCTTGTCTGTGCATTATCTAGTTAAAGTAATAAAAAAAATATGTAGAAATATACAGTGAGATACGCAATCGGTTATCTTTACTCGCTATTCTACTGATAAGAAAAGCTTGTCTACTGCTAGTTCGAAAAACTGTCGATCCGTGTATTTAAAAATAATTACAATAATTACAAATAAATAGTGTTAACACAAACCTAAATATTTAAATAATTGAAAAGTGGGCCGAGTTGACCCGTGCCGAGTTGGAATAGGGCCGAGCTGACTCGGGGGCCGAGTACGTTTTAGGGCCGAGCTGACCCGGATTCCTTAAGTTCTATACAAGAGAACTCAATATTGATACGTTTCGAAATTGTTAAATTACAATATGCAATCATGGGTATTACAGGCATTTACAGGCATATAATCACTTAATATGAATAAAGCAAAGCATCAAAGGAAGCTCTTTGTAGTATGAAATTATCAAATAAGGCAAAGCCTATCTACGAGGAAGGTAGACGTACGTTTCACAATTGAGATGGTTTACACCAAGAAGTTACACTCCCAAATGGGAGCAGGGTTCCCTCTGGGTCAAAATTAGTTTGCGCCACCAAATTCGCCAATCAGAAAAAGTTGGAGCCAATGGCTCCAAAGTTGGAGCCAATAATTCTGCAAGGGAGACATGCCTACATTTTTGTATATTTGCTAAGATATGCTAGCAGTTATATATCATTATGATTACAAACACATATTTTAATATTTCATTTTATTACAGCTGAATGTTTATTTTCCTAAAATATAGACATACAACATGTTTCTATTTTGTGTTTTTTCAAATTCTATTTAAATAAATACACATGACAGCATAAATGTTAATCAAGAACATCATGTTAAGTTAGTCATCCTGTTTTCCACCGTTTTGCCAGTGTAGCAGTTCTTCTAACAGACTGGACTGAGCCAAGATCTTTCCCAGCTTCTACCCGACAATCTGGTGATCTACAGATACAAAAAAAAAACAAAAAAACAACATTACTATAAATTGACTTCATCTTAAAATCAATGAGTACAAAATATGAAATAGATACTAAGTATTTTTGACAATGAAAAATATTGTTTATTTTAATAGGGTTTGCATATGAATAGACACTTCAGCCCTTTACAATCAGATATGAAAATATTAACATTGCAGTACTCCTCATAAACTACTGGTGCAATTTCATCCAAACTTTACAGAAATGATCAGTACCAAGTCTAGTTGTGCATATTGTCAGCATTTTCCGGTTCATTGCTTTTTGTCAGAGTTATGGCCCTTTAATTATTTTTAATTTTAAAGTTTGTCCGGACTACTTCTCTTATACCACTAATGCAATTTCAATGAAACTTTACAGGATTGATCTGTAGCTCAAATCCTTGCGCATATTGCACGGGTTTTCCGGTTGAATGATTTTTGGCCGAGTCATGGCCCTTTGATAAAAAGGTGTTTTTTCTGTGTTTTGCCAGATACACAAAAGCTTGTCCGGACTACTCCTCATAAACTACTGACCAGTGCAATTTCATCCAAACTTTACAGGAATAATCAGTATCAAGTCTAGTTGTGCATATTGTCAGCATTTTCCGGTTCAATGATTTTTGTCAGAGTTATGGCCCTTTAATAATTTTTATTTTTAAAGTTTGTCCGGACTACTTCTCTTATACCACTAATGCAATTTCAATGAAACTTTACAGGATTGATCTGTAGCTCAAGTCCTTGCGCATATTGCACGGGTTTTCCGGTTGAATGATTTTTGGTTGAGTTATGGCCCTTTGATAAAAAGGTGTTTTTTTCTGTGTGTTGCCAGATACGCAAAAGCTTGTCCGGACTACTCCTCATAAACTACTGGTGCAATTTTATCCAAACTTTACAGGAATGATCAGTACCAAGTCTAGTTGTGCACTGTCCGTCTGTCACAAAATTTGTCTCAACATGAAATTGGCCATCATGAGGCGACACATGTGATCACTGATTGCTCTTGTCTTTGCATTAAGTATATTTTATATCAATAAGTAAAAAATATTCTGCAAATCATTTATTATAATTTCTATTTATATCTTATTATCTGATGTAATATTATTTCATTTTTGTTATAGTTAATAAACAAAACTTATGGAGGAGTTTCTTTTTCCAAGAGTTTGGTTTTAATTGGCTGAACATTGTCTTAAAATATTTCAATGGTTCAATAAACAACTGATTAGTAAGTGTTGATGCTTAAGTGTAATGTTTTAACAACTAATTTCAAACTGTTAGTTGATGGTCTCAGTGTTTATACAAGTAATAAGGTGATGAGATTATTGTTAACACCACAAGTAAAAAATGTTTTTAATGGATTTATTATGTAAAATTAACTGTAACTGTTAATTTTCAATAGTATATTGAAGTATAAGTAAAATACAGTAAATCTGTAATGATTGAAAAGAAATTAGTTACAAAGATGTTTCAAAGTCTAATGATACTTGTACAGACAGAATCATAGGTTATCAAAGCAGATAAATTTGGTTTGTCAGCTCAACAAGAGACCTAAATAAAAATAACGAAATTCTTGGACATCTTCTCATCAGGTCAACCCCATTATTTTTGGACTATTGCAGTGAACACATAAATTTTATCACATAATTATATATGATTCATTCTTTTAATTTTCAGTCAGCCACATTGAAGCCTTATCTAACTGCCATAAGGCACACATTGGAGGCAGCCATGTGCCTGCAGAATTTCAATTCACAGAATGTGGAAAGACATAATAAACCAGAAGTAGAAGTGAAGTAAGTTGTGTCTTTTGTGAAGTTTGAGAAGTCCATTTGTTAAGGTTTTGTAAACAAAAATAAATACCCTAACTTCCTAAGGTAACAGGTCTTCTGTTTAACAACCTTGAATGAGGAAGTGAAATATATCATAGATGAAGAGTTGTGTTTATATGGATTGTATTACAATAACATTGAAAAGAACTATAAGGAAGCAACTGTATTGCTTGATCTTAAACACTAACCAGTCTGACTTTAACAGGACATAAATTTTCAACATAACAAATAGTTTTCAAAACTGCATTTGTTTCACTTAAAATAGTTAAGTACTGTGCATAAATACTTTTTTCAACACTGACTCGAGCAGCGACTTGTTTTTACAGATCACTGAAAGTTAAATTCAGGTATCCTACATCCCAGAATGGTGGTTGAAATATTTTGTCAGTGACAATATTTTTTTTGGAAAGAGATTGATCATTTTGTAGGGAAGGCTGAATATTTTCAGTAGAGCTTATCAATGTGGTTTGCAAAAATTGCAAACTTATCAACAGTCATCCTGTCAACTTAATTTTCAAATACTTGTAGCATTTACTTTCATATTCACTACTATTCACTACTTCCATTTGTATTATAGATGTTATTGTATGAGAGGAAGAAAAGTCATAAGAATTTTTTTATTTATATTTTCAGGAGTAGTAAAGAGCTTCTTTTGACACCTGTAGTAATAAGCAGAAATAAACAAGAACGTGTTTTAATAGAAGGTTCAATCAACTCATTGCGAATTAGCATAGGTGTTAAACAGGTAACTTAGGTTTTAGTGGACTGTCACTAGTCTGCTTGGTTAGGACAGCATGATACATTTTATGTCATTTATGAATAAATCTCAAGGGATTAAATTCACCTCAAGAAAAGTGGGCCTTTTCTTTACCTGTCTCATGGGTAGACTATTGGATCAATTCTCATTACTATACTGTTTTTTTCCCCCAATCAGCGATTATAATTCACAATTCAGTGTGGAAACGTATGCTGAGATACGTGATATGCATTTGTATGTTTATTATGCCCCCGCCATGTAATGGCCGGGGCAAATATAGTGGCTAACCCTGTTCCGTCCTTGCCGTCATTCTTGTTCATTCCGTCATGCATCAGTTTTCCGTTCATTATCTTAGTAACGGTTGCACACATTCAACTTAAATTTGACATATGAATATGTCATGAGAAATTACAGGTCAAGTTCAAATTTGGTCATGGTTCAATGATTTTTGGCAGAGTTATGCCCCTTTCACTTTGAAAAATAATATGAAATTTTTCAGTTTCTGTTCATTATCTCCCCAACGGTACAACACATTCAACTTAAACTTGACATATAGATATGTCATGAGAAAAATACAGGTCAAATTCGAATTTGATCATGGTTTGATGATTTTTTGGCAGAGTTATGCCCCTTTTACATTGAAAATAATATGAAATTTTCGGTTTCCGTTTATTATCTCCCCAACGGTACAACACATTCAACTCAAACTTGACATATAGATATTTCAAAGGAACGTCCAAGTCAAGTTCGAATTTGGTCATGGTTCGATGATTTTTGGCAGAGTAATGCCCCTTTCACTTTGAAACATAATATGAAATTTACAGTTTCTGTTCATTATCTACCCAACAGTGTTACATATTCAACTCAAATTTGACATATGGATATGTCAAAGGAATGGGCAGGTCCAGTTGGAATTTGGTCATGGTTCGATGATTTTTTTGGCAGAGTTATGTCCCTTTCACTTTGAAAATAATATAGATACATCTTAGGAATAAGCAGTTTTAAGTTTGAATTTTGTCGTGGTTCAATGATTTTGGACAAACTTATCTTTCCTGAATGTTGGAAACATTTTGAACTTTCAGTTTCAGCACTCATACTTTTGTAGAAATGTATGTAGCCATTATTTTGGCTACAGATATGCAATATGCTATTTTCAAAAGGTTAAGACTGAAAATTTCAGTGTTTTTAATATTGAAAATAAAAAATTAAAATTTTTTAAGGGCTTTGAATTTAAAAATTTAAAAAAAAAATTTTTGTACAAAAAAAATTTGGGAAACTAAATATTATAAACTCTGAAATTTTGGGTTTTGCTGCAGGGGCACCCAGTGGCATGAGACCCCATTTCTAGTTGAAAAAAAAAAAACCCTTTATAATGCTCAGTTTTATTTTGTATTTATTATATATATTATACTATTGTTTAAAGGGTGGGAAAATATATTTTAAACCTAAATTTTAAATTTTTGGGAACCCTTTGGCCGAGGGGTTAAGGGTCGTTTTATTAAACGATTTTGGCTTCTCAACTGCTATATTTTCCCAACCCATGCAGCATAAATTTGGATTGTTCTTTGGTAAAGAAAGCTATCAAGCTAGCTGAGGGAATGTTGGGGGTTCTACTAAAGGGGCCTTTTTTGGTCCCTTAAAAATGATTAAAGGGGGGTTTACCTAATTTTTCCTCCATCATTTAAACCCTGGTAGCTCCCATATCATAAAAAATATGCCCTTATTTTGGGTTGTTTGCGATGTTAAACTAAAAAAAAAGGGGGAACCCGTTATTTTATCGTTGTTTTAAAAAATTTCCCCACTTTTAAAATTATTTTTTGTTTTAAAAAAAAAAAAAAAATTTACTTTTAAAATTTTATGGAAAAAAGCCCCCAGAAAATGGTTTATATAATTACAAAAAAATTTTAATTTTTTTAAAGGGACGGGACCTTTATTCTTGTTTTCAGAGTGATAAAATAGAAAAAGATTTATGTCAAAAATTTTTTGGGAGATTTAGTTTGATGCGAGCAGAAAAACTTTTTTGGGGCTGGGGAAAAAACCCCTGTAGGGGTTTATGTAACTTACTTTAAAGGTAAAACGTTTTTCTACAATAAAAAGGTTTGTTCTTTATGACATTTCACTATGTATAATAATTTCTATCATGATTGCCATATCGCAGGTTGCTTTTGATTTGATCACTATTGTTGGTCATCTATATTTAATTTTATGTTTGTAAGAAATGTTTTATTAAACAAATGCATCTCATTGCAAGAAATAGGGTTAAATAAAAAAAAGTCCATGGAAATTGTCCATTTCTTGCACAAAAATATCAATAAGAACCAATTAAACAATTGTGAGAACTGCATATGTGGTCGAGGGGTTAGAGTCGATGACTTCTAATCCAGTTACCTCTCTGGCGTGGGTTGATCCCCGGGAGATGCTTTGGTAGTTAAGCCCGGAGGATGGTTAGGAAATTACCCGCCTATATGACTGAAATACTGTTGGGAAAAGGCGTAAAAAGAAAGAAACAAACAAATTGTGAAAGCTCACTTAAGTGTAGTTTCTGCATCACAAATGTTAACCTGTATTCCAGGGTCATGATATTAGTTTCCATGTCACAAATGTTTACCTATATTTCAGGGTCATGATATTAGTTTCCATGTCACAAATGTTTACCTATATTCCAGGGTCATGATATTAGTTTCCATGTCACAAATGTTTACCTATATTCCAGGGTAATGATATTAGTTCCCATGTCACAAATGTTTACCTATATTCCAGGGTCATGATATTAGTTTCCATGTCACAAATGTTTACCTATATTCCAGGGTCATGATATTAGTTCCCATGTCACAAATGTTAACCTGTTTTCCAGGGTCATGATATTAGTTTCCATGTCACAAATGATTACCTATATTCCAGGGTAATGATATTGAGTTTCCATATAAAAATTGTTTACATGTATTTCAGGGTCTGTAACTCTGTATAACAAATGTTTACCTGTATTTCAGGGTTATGATATTAGTTTCCTTATCACAAATTTCCACACAGAGCAAATGTTCAAGCACAAGTTAGTTGACTTCATCATACATTTTATGGAAGAAATAGACAAAGAAATCAATGAAATGAAAACTAGCAGTTAATTCACGAGCACGTCTCAGTGCAGAAGAATCTTGAAACGTTTTTTAATTTCTAATGTTGTAAGTAATAGTAAAAACATGCTTTTTACAAACTTAGGGTGTTATAGCAATGAAGTTTTCTTACCCCTGAATAGTAAAACTGTATATTTTTGTTGGGTAGTACAAGAAATGAACATTGAATTTACATTGCTATTTGTATGTTATGCTAGACTGATTTTTAAGAATCTTTTATTGTAGTGGCTCTTTTGGGCAGGGGAATGCCAAAATTAAATTTAGGTTCAAGGAATATGTACCGTGGTTTTTGCTTTAATCTGTTTGGGTACAATGGATAGATGTTAATTTTGTTTCCTTTCAATGGGAGTGTCCTTGTTGCTGAGTGGTTTAAGGGGTCTTTGACTTCAAACCACAGCCCTTTGAAAAAAAAAATTTAATGCTGTGGGATTCAAATCCCACTTGGAGTATTTTAAATTCTTTCATGTGAGGAAGTTTTCCAGCTAAATTAATAGGAATGTGTCCTACTTCAGCTCCTTTTTTTTGTGACAAAAGAAAATTGCAGGGGGAGTGGTTTTTTGAGATTCCTCCACTAGAAAACGGGAAAGCCCGCCATATGAACCTTTAAAACAGTTTTGGGGGCCTGTTTAACCAAATAAAAAAAAAATTTTTCCCTTTCAAAATGTTTTTTTAATTTTGGGAAATGCAAATTTTTACCCCAAAGGGGTTTTATTTCCCATTTTGGAAAAAATGTTTTTTAATTATTGTATCTTTTGGGAATGTTGTTTATAGTGTACAAAATAATCATTTTAAACCCATAAAAAATGAAAATTACAATGTCTAAGTTAAATGGAGTAAACAGATTCCTCTACTTTTTTTTTTTCAAAAATTTTTGGGGGAAACATCATTTTAGCTCAACCCAAAACTGAACATCTACTTCCCCATGGCAGTCTGGGATGCTCAGTTGTCATTCATTATTGAGATTCGAAAGAAAAAATATGACAGCAAAATTTTTTCAGAAAAAAACCTTTAAGCAGTGCTTACTTAGACATGGGGTTTGAGAATTTTTTTTTCTTTCTTCTAAAAAAGAGGTTTTTCCTTTTTTTCTGGGGATTTATTTTTTGGCAAGTTTTAAAATACATGAGGGTAAAGATTAAACTTTAGGGGGGTAAAGTTGGGAAGGGATATTTAATTTTTAAAAAAAAAAAATGTACGTTTATTTTTTTTTTCCGATTAAACCATAAGGAATAGTCCCATCATATGGTCTATCAACTCTTCAGCGGAATTTGTTATAGATTCTTATTGCATTTGTTTGTTTTATCTGAATGTGTGTACAATATTGTTGGTTGATTTGATGTCAAAGGTTGACCTTTAACCTGTTGAATTTGTGTAATGGATGTGCTCTGCTTTGAATTTGGAACAGTCCATTCAGGTTTTAAGGGATGTCATTTTCAAAATACAAAAAGTAAGGTACTTGCCTGGTGAGAGAGGCTGCACAGAAGGTTGGCCTGGCTCTGTACTAATGGCAATGGCTTATCACTTTTTGTTCTTGCAGGATAACGGTTTATTGTTCATATAAATCCATTAAAAATTTCTTTGTTTGAATGTTTATAATATAGAGAGACTATGAAATGTTGTTTTTTTTGGCTTTTATGTGGACTTACTGTAGAAATCATTTGAACAAATCAGCAATAGAAGTGCAATTTTTTTTTTTACTATGCTAGGACAGTAGCACTTTTTGTTTTACGCTTCAAATGATAACAGAATTCAGGAAAACGCCATTTCGATTATGATTGGTTAGTTTTGACATTTTTAAGTTTTAAAGGAAAGTTTTCAGCCAATACAACCATATCAGCTTCTTGGTTTCCATAGTAACATGATCATGGTTGCTTCTTCAAATCACAACCAAGAAAGCCTTTCTAGCTTGCTTTATGGAAGGTGGGGCTGTTCTATTCCCCACTCATACCTGTCATAATGTAAAGTGCACCAGAAGTCTTTACTCAACCAGTAAGTAGAAAGTCACTAAATGACCTTTACTTTCTATATGACCTTTATAAGTGTTGATGTGACCTAAAAAGTTTAAAACTCAACCAAATATTTTAAAAGTGCTGGAATAAATTTAATCAAATGTGTATTGGATTACTCTTTGATGTAGGTATATCTGAAAAAGTATTGAAAATGTTTATCTGATAACTGATATATATAATTATATACATGTGATTGAAGTCTCAAAAGGAAATTGGGTTTTTTTAAGGGCCTTTTTAAAAAAATTTCCCAAAAATTTTACATTTTTTTACACTAAAGGGAGGCTTTTTTTTAACCAAAAAAGTGCTCTTTTTATAGGGAAGGGAACAATTTATATACAGGTTTTAAACAGAAAAAACTTAAAAAAAAAAGTCCATAGTAGGTTTAGGAATGCTTGTATTTTTTCTTTAAAGCCTGGATTTTCAAAATTTAAAAAATATTTTTTTTAATTAAACTTGAAAATTTTTTGTAACTTTTGACCGATTAAATATGGGATGTTTCTTAACTGGGTTTTTTAAAAGTGGGTTTATAAAAAGTTTTAATGGGGAATTAAAAACCCTTTTTAATAAAAATGTTATTTTTTTAAAAAAAAAGTAAAAGAAAAATGTTTTAAAATTAAGGGAAACGGCGATTTTTGGAATAAAAAAATTTTTTTTTTTTCATTTTTTTTTGACCCAAAGAGTGAAGCATTTTTTTTTAAGGAAAATTTCAATTTAAAGGGGATTACAAGATTTTGTAAATGACTTAAATGGCATGGTCCAGATATCTTGTATTAATGTGGCCAATTTTTTGTGTCATTAAAAATCGACTAGGTAAATGAAAATAAAGCTATAGCACCACAACACAAGGTCAGATACATGGGTACAAGTTTTCAAGGCATATGCCTGAAGTTCAGGTTTTTTATACTCTTAAAAGCACTCTTTTTCTTTGTTAAACCAATCAAAATAATGCTTAATTCAGGGTTTTCAGGTTTTTCTGGATATTTTTAACTTACACCCATGCAGATATAAAATCAGTTCACTTTTTTTTCAATTAGGTGATAATCTGGCTGGCTGTAACTTTTGCAAAAATCTAGTTTTGCAAGTATAGAATTCTGTAATTTAAAAAGGGAAAAGTTCATTGTTCCTGGGTTCCATTCAAATTTTCAAATTTTCTTCTTTAAAATAATAACTATATGTAATCATTTGTATAAATGAGCCGCACCATGACAAAATATAATGGGTTTGCAACCCAGCATGGGATCCCGACCAGCCCTGTGCATCCCGGTGCAGTCTTAAAATTAGGATCCATGCTGGTTTCGCTATCAGTTTTCTCTACTTGTTATAGGGTGTTTAGCAATAGCATTGGGATCCTGATCAAGACTGGGCGCGGATGTTGGCAGGCTGGTCTGCCAATGCATTTATGTTGGGTTTTGTCATGGCCCGGCTCAAATACTTTCTTTCTAATTGGGTGTAAAAATTGTGCTAAGTTGAACATTACATGTAATATTTATACATGACAACAATATTGCTATGCATATGATTATAATTTAAATATAAAATTGTTTTTAAAAAACTGAAATTTTGTGTTAGGTAAAATTATCTATAAATTTGTGAGATTTTGGGTAGCTCTTGTTAGTATGAGCAGAGGATTTGTACATAATGGTACTTTCCAATAGGTTAAGAAATTTTGGTGAAAGCAAATTATAACACCTATCTTCGGTGAATAGCAGGAACCAGGTAGGAATAAGCAAAGAATAATAAATAATTTTACTTGTGTTATATGTCAAGAAAAACCGTAATACTGGGGGTGGTGGCGCAGGAAAAAATGTTTTTTAAAAAATGGGTCTAAAAAAATAGAAAGGCTGGGTTGATTTGTATACGCAAATATCCAAGGGTTTGTGATGTTTTTGAAAATTTCTCCATCGACAATTTAAATGTTTTAAAAATTTTAAATTTTAATCCGATAAAACAGGGAGTGGATTTCAGCGACAGCTTGAAAACGAATACCCAGTAAAGGGGGCCACGGTTTAATGGGTTTTAACCAAAAAACAAGAAGGGTGTGACAATAGTTACTGGGGGAAAAAATTTACAAAAAAACTCCTACCATCGACCATTAAAAAATCCAAAATTTTAAATAAAATTAACAGGAAGTGGATTTGGGGACAGACCTTTAAATTAAAATTTCCCAAAATTGGGCCCCGTGCAACCTTTGGCCCAAAAAAAGTGTTTAAAAAAATAGAAAGAAAAAAGAAAACAAAAATTTAATTTTTTGAGAAACAAATTTTTTTAAATTTTTAAATAATGTTCATTTATTCCAACTCTTAGATTTTTTTAAATTTTTTGACACAATTTTAAAGTACAACACAAAAATCAGCTTTTTGGGATAGGAAATATTTTGCAAAAACCCTGTTTAATGGGGGGAAAAGGGGGAAAAAAAAATTTAACATTTCCAGACATGTTCCGTTAGAATCATTTTATAAAATCTAAATGCATATTTCTTAGAAAAATTCCTATAACAACACCATGACTGTAGCAACAGCTCCAATTTTTATTTGAAAAAAGTCAAGCTGATTAAAAACAAGAAAACCAGAATTTTAAAGTATTACAATATTTTTTATTATTTTTAATACCTTTGTGAATAAGAACAATTTTGCACCAAAAATTATGCATCCCAACTTCTGTTAAATTGGTAACAATTCCAGAGCAGAAAGAAGCATCTTCCAACTTCGATTTTAAAGAGTGGTGTAAACCTTATTAGCCTTAATAAACATTTTAATTTGTTACAAAGCTCTTTTTAAACTTGCATATTGCTAAAAAATAGCTGCCACTATATACAAAGTTTTTAATATACATGTATACATAATATTATATATATATTATATATTATATATATATATGCTTAAAATAACCCCGTAATAACAGACTAATCATAACAATTTTCATTGAAAAGATTTAGACTGACAAAGAAGTATTGGAAAATAAAAAAGCAATGTGACTGAGAAAAACAGGAGTGTAAGTAATATATCCCTAACATAAAAAT